GGGAGCCCGATGCGGGACTCGATCCCGGGACTCCAGGATCATGACCTGAGCTGAAGGCAGTCGCTTAACCAACTGAGCCACCCAGGTGCCCACTATCTACCTGCTCTTAAGGGTAAAGTGCAAATCCTATTTCCAGAGGGTCTATGTCTAAGTTATATTTGTTTTCCCCTATATCCCCAAAGATTTATTAATGGAATGGAAGAGTAAATAAACTGGTTAATAGCCTTGGATAGCAAGAAACCTTTGATGCATACTGGGTTTCAAAAAGACTTTTATTATTGGTTTATTCATATTATCATCAAACTTGAAGATCTGTGGTTCCCACTTTTCCCCCCCACCCTAACATCCTTGAAAATAGGAAAAATGACATGTTACCAATAGTACGTTGGCTCATGATGGTGGTAAATTTCCCAAGGGAATAATACATCACAATCTCTAAGACTGAGAATTTTATATTCATGTTCATTTTTCCATTTCCCCTTCTATATTTTAATGTCTCTTTTTAAATTTGAGAATGACTTCTTTGGATAAATGGATAGAAATATTTATCAGTACTGCTTTTCATGTCTACCATTGTATTCTTCTTTAAAGAAGCTTACCACAGAAAGGATGATTCATGAAATAAATTTCTCATTTCTTCTTAAGCTGTATTCCTCATCTTTCTCCTTTTTGGTAGGTGTTCCTAAAGGAGCAGGAACGACAGCACCTACAAGATCTGCTTCACCAAGAGGTGCTCCGCAGAATCATATTGTTGCAGCGTTGGTTCAGGGTTCTTCTGTGTAGGCAGCATTTCCTCCATCTGAGACAGGCATCCATCATTATCCAGGTTGGAAGCAAAGGATTCCTCATATGAGATTTGCTAGTTTATGTGGCCTTTATTTTAGTAACTAGAATTTTATTGTGAAACATTTGAGTAAGAATATAAACTTCTTCAGAGATGAGAATGTGTCCTATTCATCTTTTTAAAAAGTTTATTTATTTATTTGAGAGAGAGAGAGAATGGACAGGGGGAGGGGCAAAGGGAGAGGGAGAGAGAGAATCTCAAGCAGACTCCCTGCTGAATGCGGAGCCTGACACAGTGCTCGATCTCATGACCATGAAATCATGACCTGAGCTGAAACCAAGAGTCGGATGCTTTATCGACTGAGCCACCTAGGCGCCACTCCTGTTCATTTGGGTTCATAGCACCCAACAGATTACTTATTATAATAATAGACTACTGATAAATATTGATGGAGTTGAATTTAAATTAAATTGAATTTATAGCTATATTGTCTTATAAGGTATGGTTGGAGCAAAGGAGTTATGTGCCTTAATTTTTGTTGACATAGTTATTTTTATTTGATAGTTTCCTGAGAATATTTGAGAGTTATATTGCTCTGTACTCATCTTGGATGATAGGAATCTTATTTTGTATTTTTCTGTTTTATTTTCTCCCTCATTGATATATATGATGACCGTTCTCCTCCATAGGCCCCTTTTTGTTTATATAAGAAAATCTTTAGAATCTTAATCTTTGAAACGTGTGCATGTTGGCCTTAAACCCATTAATATTGGCAAACTGTGGCATGAAAAGATAATGTAATTTGTTAAAGCATCAAAAATTTTTAAATTATTTTAAGTTCTGTGTAACTTCATTGAGGTTATATTTTCTAAAAGAGTTGTTTTAGCCAAGCATATCTGGAAAAGAAAAACTTTTTTTTCCCACTTTAATCATGCGGAATTTAACTCTTTAGGCACTTAACCTTTAATTGTGACATAATAAACTTACTCTTTTTTTCTGTGAAAATATGGTATAAGATAAGACAGCAGTTTTTATTGTTTTCCCCACAGCGATTCTGGAGGAATTACCTAAATCAGAAGCAAGTCAGAAATGTAGCTGTGCAGAAGGATGCTTTAGTTATGGCTAGTGCGGCCACTCTTCTCCAGGCTTCCTGGCGTGCTCACTTGGAGAGGCAGCGGTATTTGGAGCTCCGGACTGCAACCATCATCATCCAGCAGAGATGGAAGGAACATTATAGGCGGAGACATATGGCTGCTGTCTACATTCAGGCAAGATGGAAAGGCTACAGGGAAAGTAAGAGATATCAAGAACAAAGGAACAAAATCATCCTTTTGCAATCAATATGTAGAGGATTCAGAGCAAGACAAAGGTAATCTTTGTTGCTATGATAATTACTCCTTCTCTTTCCAAGTATTTTGTTTATATCTCTGCGCTAACACTTGCCTAACTTGTATTAGAATAGGTTATATATAATTTTGTCTTCTCCACTAGGCTGTGGTACTCCTAGCAGTTTTAACCCACATTGTGTGGTCTATAATAGAAGCTAAATAGATGTTTATTGCATTAAATTGGATTGAAAACCTACATGGTCCATATGGTTATAACTGCTAAGAGTTAACTTTTACATTTGGCTTAGTCTTTAAAAATTGGCAATATTCAGTTGTTTTTACCTTTAGAAACTTTAATTTCATTTTAAGGTTTATCTTAAATATATTTTTTAAATGAGAGTTTTGACTAGAATGCCCTATTAGAAATTATGCACTTAATAAAATATCATCTCACTCATAGAAATGGAATTATGAAATGTGTACCCAAGTTAGCTTAAGAAGAAAAATGTGGAACTCTCAATTTATTTCTTAAATTCTCAGTAAAATGTATTCTCTCCAGTAGTAACTAGAAGATATCTCTAACCCATTTTTCCCTGTTTTTATATAGATTTAAAGTTTTAAAAGAACAAAGACTGAAAGAAACAAAACTAGAACTTGGATTGGCAAATACTGAGCCATCTGGAGCTCTGGAAATTCAGGGTTCAGACCCTTCAGAGTGGGAGGATTGTTCCTTTGACAACAGAGTAAAAGCTATAGAGGAATGTAAATCTGTGATAGAGAGTAATCGAATTAGCCAGGAAATTTCAATGGACCGCTTGAAAGAGTCCCCAGACAAGCGACAGGAGAGAGCCAGAAGCCAAAGTGGTGTAGACTTGCAGGAAGAAGTGATTGTAAGAGAGAGACCTAAGTCCTTGGAGGATCTCCACCAAAAAAAAGTAGGTCGGGCCAAAAGAGAAAGTCGGAGAATGAGAGAACTAGAGCAAGCTATATTTAGTTTAGAATTGTTGAAAGTTCGTTCTCTTGGTGGCGTGTCTCCTTCAGAGGAACGTAGATGGTCTACAGAACTGATGCCTGAAGGCCTTCAGTCTCTACAGGGTACACCTGACAGTGAAAGCTCTCAAGGAAGCTTAGAACTTCTGAGTTGTGAGGAAAGCCAGAAGAGCAAACTGGAGTCCATAATTTTAGATGAAGGAGACTTGCAGTTTCAATCACCTAAAATATCTAGCAGTCCAAAATTTGATTCACAGAACAATGCCCTCAGTGCCTCAAGTGAGACTAACTATACATTGATTGAAAAAGGGGCATCCTCTGACTCAGTGTATTTGAAGAATGGGACTATGAAGGAAAAACTGGTTTGCAGTTCTGAATCTATTACCTATAAGCCACAGCTGAGAGACCCCTATATTTCAAATAGTTTGCCTACATTTTTTTATATTCCTCAACAAGACCCACTGAAAACAAGTTCCCAACTAGATACAAGTATCCAGAGAAACAAGCTATTAGAAAGTGAAGAAACACTTTCAGCTCTCACTTTGGATATCAACAGGGAAGCCAGAAAGTACCACTTCCCAGGAGAAAATCAAGTTGTTACATCTTTGAATACAGACTCTTCTAATACTGTGCTGAAGAAGTTAGAAAAGCTAAACATTGAGAAGGAAGAAAGGCAAAAGCAGTTGCAGCAACAGAATGAAAAAGAGATGATGGAACAGATACGTCAGCAAACAGATATTTTAGAGAAGGAGCGTAAAGCCTTCAAGACAATTGAAAAGCCAAGAACTGGGGAGTCCTTCCTGGCACCATCTTTCCATCCATCAGAGCAAAGAGTAGAGAGGCCATCCTCTCTCCTCATTCTGAATACCCCAAATAAGGAAGAACCGAATGTAGTAGGGCCTCCATCAGTAACTGTAAAAGATGCAGCTCTTCTTCCAAAAGACAGTCCTTCTGCTCACCTACCCCAGAAGGACCGACCTGTCACCTTGTTCTTTGAAAGGAAAGGAGGCCCATGCCAATTTGCTACTACCAAGGAATTATCCAAGACAGACAGAATGTGCACCCAACTGAATGTAGCCTCTAAAGTTTCTAATAATCGTATTTCAAAAAGAGAACACCATAGACCAGCTCAGTCTTATAGCCACAAATCTGATGACCCTTCCAGAGATGGAACTACTAGGGTTATTTTCTTTATGCCAAAGGACAATATGAGTATTTCCCTGTAAGTGAAATGCTTATTTATTTTATGTATAAATGGGAAACTTTTTGGAGAATTTTATTAAGGTGCCTTAATCTACCTCAACTATTTGTATGGTGCTACTGAAATTAGCCATTTTCTCTGTGTAAAAAAAAAATTCCCTAATTGTTGACTCTAGCAGCTACCTGAAATTGAATAAAATTATACCATAGAAATCTTTGACTAAGCACAGATAGAGTTTTTTGGTTCCTCCTCATTAAGTGAGAAAGCATCTGTGAAGGGCAGTACAGTGCCTGTAAACCCAGTAGGCATTCAGCAAATGCTGGTTGCCCTAGATCTCTCAGGTGTGGCAAGTCCAATCTTGTTAGTGTCAGGCTTTAAAGTTAATGTACTTTGTCCCAGCGATTAGCCTATTTATGGTCTTCATTAAGTACTTTATACTTTCTTTGTGTGGTAAAAAACACGAAAAGAATACAATTTATCATCTTAACCGTTCTTAATTGTATAGGACCATGGTGTTAACTATATGCACATTGCTGTGCAGTGGATCTCTAGAACTTTTTCGTAATTGTAAAAGAAACTCTTATTACCCATCAAACAGCTACTCTCCTTTCCCCTTTCTCCAGGCTCCTGGCAACTACCATTCTACTTTCTAAGAGTTTGACTACTTAAATAGATGGCTCATATAAGTGGAAGTTCTTTATACTTTTAAGTTTTCTTAACTAGTGGTCACCATGGAAAAGCACTTTTTAGATGGAACATGAAAACAAAGATAATAAAATTTAAGAAATTTGTGTTAAGTCTTTGTATATAGTGGATTCTTTCAGTTCTTGTGGGAGAATGTCAATGTTTAAGTAAAAGGAGGGTATATATCTTAGGGATAAAAAAATTAAATTTCACATTTGCTGTGAAAATAACCTTTTCTCTCATCATAGTTTGAGCTTTTAATCTTTCAGTCTTTAAAATTATGTACAGACTTTATAGATCCTTTGTAAATACAAGAAAGAGATCATTGATATTTTTCCATCAGGGATTTTTGTATGGTATTATGAAATGCAGTTGAACTAAATGACAGCGTGAGGTCCTATACTTGCCCATTAACCTAGAGATTGCCCCAAAGTTCAAAGACCTTGTGTAGCATATATAAGCCCATCAGAGTGTTAAAAATATTATTTCCTGTCATTCTGATTAAGTTTAGTGATGTAAGGAGTGTGTGTGTAGCTGTTGGATCCATGAATGTGTTCTGTAGAAGGCTTACTTACAGATTTCAAAAACATTAATCATTCTTGTGAATTCTTGTAAACTCCTTTTATCATTTTCCAAGATAAATAATCTTAGGGCTACTCGATCTAGTTTGCTTTACCTCATTAAGATCTACTTATCTTCAAGATGATTATATATTAGGTTGTTTATGTGAAAGCTTAAGTAACATTCATACTTCAAATCTTCTCGTTGCATTTTATAGAATCGTAAATGTTGGTGTTTCTCAATTATTTTGTCCCGTTTCCACATATTATAGATGAGATCACTGAGGCCTGCAGAGGTGAAATGACTTGTTCAAGGTCACATACTGAGAAATAGTTGGGAATAGAACTTGAGTTTCATGATTAGGAATCACTGTTGAGTTTCATGATTAGGAAGTAACGTTAGTATTCTTTCTATGCCATAGATAAGTGCATAGTGGTCTTCATCTGGTTAATGAAGGAGAACAAAAAAAGAAATCATGGAGAAATCTAAAGAAAATGCTGTGAGTTTAAAAGTTGACTAGGGTTGTCAAGTGCTGTCAAAGGTCCTGTTAATTGTTTCCCTCTTTTTAGAACAAAGCAAAGGCCAATAGGCTCAACTGTGGCAAGAGATTTAATAAAAGGAAATCTTTTAGGATAGCATAGCCTAGGATTGCTAGGCTTAATCATACATTGGTCAAAATGGGAGATCTCTGAGAAGCCTTTAGCTAGCAAAGATTGCCATCTATTTAGGCTTGTTTTAGGATTCAATGCATAGGGCAAAGGACAAGATAACCTCTTACAGCCCCTAGGTCTTCATTTGTAAAAATTAAATGGAAGATTTTGAATGATAGAGCAATTACAAGCCAACTTATATTATAAGTTATTGTCTACTTTAAACCCAGCACTATGCTAGAAGGTAATATATGATTCTCAATGAGCTTATAGTTCTGCTAAGGAGAGATTAGCAATATGTTGTTGATAAAATTTTAAGAATCATGGTACTGAATTAATATAGGTAATTGGGGCCATGAAAGCCCTGGGTTCTATACAGATTTTCATCACATACCCATTTCTACACAGAATTTAATGATAAGATAGTCACATTTTGTGGTTATTCAAGCAAAGTTAAGTTTTCACAAGGTAACACCCCTGTATGGCACACCTCCTTTAACTTGATAACAATTTGTTATCCTGCTAGTATTGATTTTGTTCTGAATAACAAAGTTTTAAAACTACGATAGTAGATGAAAGCTGCAGAGAGGTTTCAGAAAGAAAATCTGCTAGCTAATAGTAACCATCTCAGTATTAAACAAAGTAATGGGATCTATATCACTTGATAGCTAGTTATCAGGTATTTTATAATGATTAGAATAAAAGGTCTCTTCTAAGACTAATTCTAAGGATTTGGGGATGTGGTGTTTTCCCTTATCATCAAATCCATTTGTTTTCTTGAGCTAATTCTGCTGCTACTATTCTTAAACATATGTCATAGTGGAATATACCCAGTGATTATCGGGGACAGGCCTCTAGTAATCCAGTCAAACATGTCAGTTCTTGATAATACTATTAATTAGGTAAGCACAAAAAAATTGTTTTGGGAATTGAATAAGATCTGGAAGTATTTATGTAATTTGCTAGAATTCTTTGATTTGGCTTGTTAGGCTGTATTTCATGCTGTACTTTAAGACTGCTGCCATGGGATGTCTGCTAGGAATTGAATTGTAATCCTGTTGTTTATTATCCTAAGTGTCAACAAGGAAGCCTTAAACAGTGGAAATCCTCAACTCCGTAAACAAGGTGAACCAACTTGGAAACCTGTGCAGTTAACTGGGCCGGGCCAAGGAGAGGTAAGTATTGGATTTTATCTATATTTTATGCAAAATAGATGCACCTATTTTGGAAATTATTATTCTTATAGGTAGAGGACCTCATTTATGCATTTACTCCCAAGTGTGTATTCGAAAGAAGCTATGAGTTAAGTCTGTTATACTCAGGGAGGTGTACTTCAGGTAGGGAATGTTGACTAAAATCCCAGATTATGTTTACAAAAAAAGATGTTGCTTAAAAAAGGAAGGCAATTTATGCAAGTGGCTTTGGTGACATATTATGATAGTGAAAGATGATTTCCTTGGCTGTGGAGAACAGTGTAGATTTAGCTTTCATTTTTGTCCTTTGTCCAGAGTAATGTATATGGATTGCTTTTGGTTATCTCTGTCACTTCTAGTAGAAAGGACACTACTAGTGGGGTGGAGGGATGTTTCAAGAAATTCATGAGCTCTCTGTCTTTCATTGGCATCATCTCCAAAAAAACCAAAACAAAACATTGTTGTGTTATTTGTTTTATCATTTGGTCAAGCAGGTTGCCAGACCGGCCCATAAAAAGAAAGCTCGAATGGCGCGGACGCGCTCCGATTTCTTGACTAGAGGTACTTTTGCTGATGGGGAGGGGGATACAGAGGAAGATGATTACGATGACATTATTGAGCCCCTTCTCTCCCTTGACCAAGCTTCTCACTCTGAGCTAGGGCCTGCACCCAGCCTGGGTCAGGCCTCTCACAGTGACTCCGAAATGGTAATTTTACAGCAATATAAGAAAAATAGGAAACAAACAAATCTGATGGGAATAGTGAATAGCCTTTGCTAATCTAAAGCTAACCTTCACAGCTTCTTCCTCATACAATGGTTTGTACATGGGAAACCTCAGTGAACACAGCAACAAAGCTAAACCTTAATTTAATAGGACTCAGATAAAGGGCACTTTAACAATGTATGTCAAATCATAAATTAGGGAAAACTAAGGTTATTTAATTTAGCACTAATGTAAAGACTTTCTGTTATATCTTAAAAGGTCTAGAGCAGGGGCCCTCCTCACATTTTTTCTGTAAAGAGCCAGATAGTAAAGTTTTAGATGTTGTGGGTCCTATAGTTTCTGTTGCAACTATTTAACTCTGCCCCTGTAGAGTGAAAACAGCCATAGGCAATAAGTAAACAAATGGGCAGGGCTTTGTTCCAGTAAAACTATTTTTTTTTTAATTTTATTTATTTGACAGAGAGAGACACAGTGAGAGAGAGAACACAAGCAGGGGGAATGGGAGAGGGAGAAGCAGGCTTCCCGCTGAGCAGGGAGCGCAATGCGGGGCTCGATCCCAGGTCCTTGGGATCATGACCTGAGCCAAAGGCAGACGCTTAATGACTGAGCCACCCAGGCACCCCTTCAGTAAAACTATTTACAAAAACAGGCAGTGGGCTGTATTTGATGTGCTGGCCATAGTTTGCTGATTGATCCTTGGTCTAGTGAATAGGCTATATGTTAAATAATCCAATTGCTTTTAACTGAAATGGGACTATCTTTTCCTTTTTTTTTTTTTTTTTTTTGCCTTTAAACTTGTTTCCCCTCCCCCATTTTCTAGTACTAGAAAATAAGCATGAATTAAAAAAAAAAAATTAATGAGCAATGCTAAAAATGTTTTCCTGGACCAACGTAGCCAGGTAGAAGGCTGTATGTAATATGAATTTGTATTAATCACAGATTACAACATTGGAGTTATATTTGAATAAAGCTGCACTTAGTCAAAATATTTGACTAAGGACTATAACTTTATCATCATATTTCAACCAACATTAGGAATATATAGTTTGACAAGTATGAATGTATTTATGGACATAAAATGTTTGATTTTAGAATTGTCCTGGAAAATACACAGTATAAGGACTCTGTATGTCTAATATGTACTAAAAACATTATCACTGATGAAGTGGAGTGATATATGCATTTTATTTCCATGCATATCCTTAATTAAGTTGGGTTTCTAATGTTCTTCCTTAGTATCTGTTCATTATGGCAGGAAAATTTTAGGTTGGTCTTCTTGTGACATTAAGTGTTTTATTTTTGAACTGTTTTAAAGTGTGCCAAAGAATTAAATTTTCTGTTAATTTCTAGAATATCCTCATTGTCTTTATCTTCTGTTAGAAATACCCCATTTTTTTTTTTTTAAAGATTTTATTTATTTATTTGAGACAGAGAGAATGAGAGAGAGAGAGCACATGAGAGGGGGGAGGGTCAGAGGGAGAAGCAGGCTCCCTGCCGAGCAGGGAGCCCGATGCGGGACTCGATCCAGGGACTCCAGGATCATGACCTGAGCCGAAAGCAGTCGCTTAACCAACTGAGCCACCCAGGCGCCCTTAAATTATTCTCTAAAGTATACATAAATTTTTCATTTGTGGAAGAACTTAGCATTTGTAATTGCTGTTTTGTTCCTGAGAGTTTTCTTTGTTACAAACCTTAGTCCTTTTGGTGGTAGAATTCTTCCTCACTGAAAACTCTTAATGAGATGAACCGGAAGTTGGGTTTTCTGCTTGGAGCATTCCGCCCCTTTAAGGGTTCTAGCTGGTAGCCTCTGCTTGTGATTCTGTTCACCTGCTTGACGGTCACTGCATGCCAGTAGTTGTAGAGCACTCTGCCTCCCTGCACAGTGTATATAGTCTCTTCTCCAGCTTTCTCGCTGTCCTTCTGTTTCATCACTAGCTATTTTAGGAACAGGTGGTGGTGTTTGTTTCTGGTGGACACTTGCATGAAGAAGCTTTGCTTTCTAGAATATGCTGGTAGATACTTATTGGGGATGGGGGTGGAAAGGGTAGGAACAGTTTAAAGTGTGTTTCTGTTCATTTATCTTGAAAATTTGCCATGTTCTAATGTTCTCTGATATTGTAAAGATAAAGACTAATTGTTTGTAAATGGGATCTACTGAGTTCTCAAAAATTCAAATACCTCAGGATTTTAAATACGCTTGATTTTCTAGGCACATGGATTTTTAAAAACTTGATTTTTTTTTTTCCCCCTGGACAAAGTGATCCTGTCACTCTGACATTTGCTAAAAAGAGTGTTATTCAATCTTGGAAGAAGCCATCTGACCTTTTCAGTTGTGAAATAACTGATCTAATGGAATAAAGACAGTTATAAAAGAATTACCTGAAGAGGATTTGATAAGCATTACCTCTTGAATTCATCAGTCATTAATTAGTTGTTACCTGCTAGGAGGAGTAGAGACAAGAGTAGTAGTTTACTTCCTTATGACTTTGGTGGTGTTTTTTTTTTAACTTTCTGCCTTTAATTCTGCCATTTGAATAACTTTAATCTCCAGATGCTGTTCTCACTCAGTTCTTCTATCCACTCTGTTGGCTTTTATCCAAGAAGAATGACATGTTCTGCCATGTAATATTTTTAAGGTGCTTTTCATATAGTTTTTTAGTCTCTCAGTATTCTAGATGGTAAGTGAGTTAGTCACATCATTTCTTTTCCTTATTAGTAGAATTGGTATAGGTAACATTATAGTTTCCTCTGTCATCCCTAGATAGAAAGCAATCATCTCTTATGGGCATGACTCCCAAGTAGCTCTGCAGAATTTGTCTTCTTTATCTCCAGTATGATAAATTTCTCATTTTATCCCCCAAACTGCTGTCACTTCTTATATTCCTGTTTCTGTTTGTTATTATCTGAAATATTCTCCAATCCTTATCTGTGTTGAATTTTCCTTCTCTCCACTGCTCACTCCACAAAAAAATGCCAGAAAAACCTGTTGATTGAGGAAGGCTAAGTTTTTTAGCTTATTTTACAGTAAAGGGAAATCTACCTTGGCTAGGTCTTAGGAATTTCTCAGAAAGGGGAAGCCAGGAGAGGATGTTTATAGAATTTTATTTTATTTAAATTATTTTTTTTTAAAGATTTTATTTATTTATTTGACAGAGAGAGAGACAGCGAGGGAGGGGACACAAGCAGGGAGCAGGAGAGGGAGAAGCAGGCTTCCTGCTGAGCAGAGAGCCCAACGTGGGGCTTGATCCCAGGACCCCGGGATCATGATCTGAGCCGAAGGCAGACACGTAACGACTGAGCCACCCAGGCGCCCCTGTTTATAGAATTTTAGAACCTGAGCTGGTGATTTTGAGATGGTTCTTGCAAATTGGAAATCTGGTTGATATTGAACAGAGTTTATGACATACAAGGTTTGGATTGGCACTTCCAGTGCAGCAGCTATACTGTTGAATACGTTTAGTATTTATCTATCTATTTATTATTAATTAATTAATTTCTTTTTAAAAGATTTTATTTATTTATTTGAGAGAGACGGAGAGGGAGAGAGACAAGCAGACTCCCTGCTGAGCAGGGAGCCCAATGTAGAGATTGAACCCAGGACCCTGAGATCATGACCTGAGCTGAAGTCAGATCCTTAACCGACAGAGCCACCCAAGTGCCCCTACACTTAATATTTATATGTGTATTTTATTCTCCCCCAAAAAGTTAGGGACAGTTCATAGCATCACAACTCTCTGCTCTTTAAAGATTTGGTAGAATTTCCCTGTGAAACCATCTGGGATTTTTTTGTGTGTGTGTGGCATAATTCCTTGATAATTAACTGTATTTCTTCTAGAGAAATTGGTCTTGTAAGCTTTCTATCTAATGGAGTCAATTTTGATAATTTTTTCTTACGAAATTACTCATTTCATCTAACTTTTCAGATTTATTTGCAAAGAAGTCTGGAAATTAGTCTCATGATTTTTTAAAAATTCTGTTTCAATGGTTATTTCCCTTCTGTCATTTCATATTTTGTAGATTTGTGTTCTTCCCTTTTTTTCTTTAAGTTAGCTAGTCACTTGTCTTTGTTGTTACTATTTTCCAAAATAATAAGATTATGATTTATTTATTATGCCTAGTTTCCCCCACCCCCATTCTCCACTGAATTCTGCTTTTACCTTTATTATTTATTTCCTTATTTTTAAAAAATTTACTGTCTTATTTTTCTACCTTAATTTTAAGTGGAATTTAATTCATTTATTTATTTTTATTAATGCAGGTTTTTAAGGCTGTGAATTTTCTTCTGATCACTACTTCAGATATATCTTGTTTATTGTAATGTGTATTAAGTTTTTAATTATTTTTTAGAAAATCTGTAATTTCAGTTTATATTATTTTTTACCCAAAACCTGTTCAATAAAAATCTTTTCGTTTTCAGAGGAAGAACATTTCTATTTTTTAAAAAAACTTTTTTAACTTCTAGTTTTACTGTGTTGTGATTAAAGAGTATTTATAATGATTTATAATGATCAAATTTCCTGACTCTTTTCTTTGTCAGTTAATATGTGGTCAGTTTTTGAGAAAGTACCATGTGTATTTTTTAAGTAGGGTGTATTCTATATTCAGAATGTAAAATTTCAGTATATAACCATAATCTCTTTCTTACTGATTATGTTGTCTTCTGTATCTTTACTATTTTTTGTACATTTGATCTGTCTTATATAGAGAATGTTGTGTTAAAGTTTCCTCTTATTCATTCTGAATTGTGACTATTAAAAAGTGTCCTTTGTTACATTCAGTGCTTTTTCTTGAATTCTACTTAAATCAATTAATTACAGTCTGTGTTTTCTTAATTATTTCCATTTGCCTGGAATACTTTTTCTCATCCTTTAATTTTTAGCCTTTCTGGATCCTTATGTTTTAGATGTGTGTTTTGTATGCAGCATAGTTGGTTCCTACTTTGTGAGCCAAATTAAAAAAAATTTTTGCCTTATAGATAAGTTAAATCTATTCCTATTTATTTATTTATTTATTTATTTTTTAAAGATTTTATTTATTTATTTGAGAGAGAGAGTGAGAGAGAGAAAGAGCACAAGACGGGGGAGGGTCAGAGGGAGAAGCAGACTCCCCGCCGAGCAGGGAGCCCGACGCGGGACTCGATCCCGGGACTCCAGGATCATGACCTGAGCCTAAGGCAGTCGCTTAACCAACTGAGCCACCCAGGCGCCCAAATCTATTCCTATTTATTGATATAACTGATAGATGCAGTCTCAATTATCTTTCTTACAATTTTGTTATTATTTGTTATGTTAAATTTGCTGTGTTTATGTTACTTTTTTGCTGTTTTACTTTTTAAAATTTCTTTTGATATGGGGGGTTTCTTTTTCTGTTGGTTTGTATATGACTTTTAAAAATGCCTTAATTTACTGTATTTTAGTTTAACCAACTATTCTCAAGTTAGTCATTTATAATAATATTTTTTAATTCTCACTTATTTTGGCACAACTGTTGATGAATTATTCTTGTCTCTACTTTTCCTCTCCTGTTTTTTAGGATTTTATTTATGTTTTGTCAGAACATACAATTTTACATATTCTTCTACATATTCTTATATGTATAAATTCTGGTTTCGCCTTATGTTTGAAACACTTTCATGGATTACAGTTTTAAATATTGTGTCCCATTATTTTGTTTTTCTTGTTTAGGGACTCCTATTACATAAGTAAGTTTTTTTTCTTTTCCTGTCTTCCATCTCAGCCACCTTCTCTCTCTTTTCTTTATACCACTTTCTATTCTTTATTATCTTCCTGCCTTTGTTCAGCCCCTTTAAATCTGCATTTGCATTTTTTCTCCCTTGGGCATCTTCTAAATTATTCTTCACTAAATTGTTATTTCTTTCCTGAGTTCATTCAACTCCCTTCATTGTTTCCTGGTTTTTATTGAGGTGAGGGGGCTCGTTTCTATTTTTAATTTTTGAATTTCTGCTTCAGTGTGGTGTTTCATATATATGAGGTTTTTCATTTTTTATTTATAGTTTTCTGCTTCATGCTTGGTTTCTGTATGTTTGATGGGAGATGGGTTAATCATCTAAGTTGTTTTGGTTCTAATTTTCTTTGTTTTCTTATTGTAGCTTGTGTAGATTTTATTTGTCTTAATTTATTCATGTTGTGCATTTGGGATAGTTTATAGGTAACTTGATTTCAAGATCTTCCTCTTCTGTCAATGTAAAAAAGAAAAGTTTCTTTGCAGGCAGCCTGTTTGGAGTCTGTTAGTTTTGTGTGTGTGTGTGTGTATGTGTGTGTTGGAGGCAGTGTTGTGTCCTCCATTTTTTGCTTCTGTTTTGCCTTGCTAGATTCTAAATTTTCCCCTTCTGCTTCTTCCTCACTACTCAGTCTCCAAAAGGCACCCCTTCTTTCCTTTTTACATTCATTTTCCTCAGAATCAGTGCCTTTAAAAATATGTCACCTTGAATCACATGCAATTTTAAGTCCTTTCCCTTTAGTTAGTTCTCTAATCTAGTGCTTAATATTTGTGTCAGTTTTGAGTCACTATAGATGGATTGACTTTTTCTCCTCCTTGTCAGTCATATATTGTTATTTCTTTGCATGCCTAGTTATTTATTATCAGAAGCCTGACATTGTAAATTTTGTCTTGTTGGGTGCTGGATACTTTTGTATTTGATTAATATTCTTGAGACTGTTTTGTTCCAGTAATATTTCAGAGCTTGGTTCTGGAAGCAATTTGTTCCTAAGCAGTTAGGTCTTCCTTTTAATATTTGTTACTCTCATTGTATTGAATACTGGAAATTTTCTAAGAGAGTAGATTTCAGGTGCTCTCACCACCAAAAAAAAAAGAAGAAGAAAGAAAGAAATAATGGGAAGAGATGATATGTTAATCAGTCTTCAGTAATCATTTTAATATTTATATGTAAATCAAATCATTTTGTACACTTTATATACAATTTTTATTAAATAAAACTAAGATTTGTTAGGTCCAAACAGAGCAGTTGTTCACCTAGGACTTATTTTTGACTATCACTTATTCTTGACTGTTGAGGCAAGATCCTGCTATATACTTCACCCAGTACCCTGGGAATCATAAAGTTACATATTCTGACTCTTGGGCACAGGCACTGTTACTGGCTTTTTGTAAGTGCTGGGCACTGTTACCTTTAATCCTTTCAGGTGGTCCTTTGCCTGGTGTTGGGTAGTTGTCTGACATAGAAGTGTCGATTAGTACTCAGCTAAATACCCTCTGAAGATCTCCAGAGCTCTTTTTTTGTGCATCTCTTTCCTCTTCAGTAACCCCCCCCCCCCGCCGCCGCCCCTTTCTTTTGGTCTTTAGTCTCTCTGGACTTTCAACCTCATATGTTTAACTCAGAGAGTCTGCCAGGGCTCACCTGAAACCTCCTCTCTGTGTCACAGTCTGGAAACTGTCTCAAGGCACTAAGCTGGGGCAGATGAAGAACTCACTTCCTTTGTTTCCCATCTCTCAAGGATAACTGTCCATCATCTTGATAAAGGCTGGTTTTTACTATTTTGTCTGGGTTTTTGTTTTGTTTTTGGTTTTGGTTGTTTCAGGCAAGAAGATAAAACAGGTCCCTGTTGTAGCAGACTAAAAGGCTAATGAAAAGATATTATAATTATAGAAAAATGAAATATTAGGAAAGGATTTGAATAGGTAACAAGAAATTTTTTCTTCTGAATGAGATTTTCTTTTAAAGGGGCACATTGTAAATAAATGGAACAAGAATTGCCATTTGAAATTCAGGTCCCAGTTTGATAAAGCCATGTTAAGTTGTTTAGTTTAGAATAGTAGTGGTGATAATGATCTTAATTGTTTGGTCCTTTGGTTTTTAATTTTCCTTTCTTAAATCCTTGACTAGGTATAATAAGAATCTACAGTAGCAAGTTAGGCCATAAAAGTAATTATTACTTGTAGGGACACATAAAAGGAGGCATGAAAGGCTATATTTAGTATTCTAGATTTATCAGATCCTGGATCTTTTGTCTGTATCTTTAGTTGGCTTTGACTTTTTTCTTACCTTTCCACTTGATATTGTTAAGTTGTCAGAAAACAGGAACTGGTAGGTCCTATTCAGCATTTCATTGACCCAAGTTCTCTTTACTTCAGATCATTCTAGGAAGGTAATAAAGTTTTTAGTAGGTTCTTTTATTTCAATGAATGGCTGAACAATATGAATGTATTTTTATATATTTTTAATAGATGTAATTCTCAATTCTATAACTTGAGTTTTAATTACAGTGTTATGATATAGTTACTTGGTTTTAAAGTCTTTCATATATGTAATTATTACAGACATCACAGCGATTTTCTTCAGTTGATGAAGAAACAAAGCTTCATAAGACTATGTCTCAAGGAGAGATTACAAAATTGGCAGTGAGGCAGAAGGCTTCAGATTCGGACATAAGGTATAATTTGAGATTTATCTATTTTTCAACAGATATTAAGTACCTGCTGTATGACAGGCACATGATAATTCAGATTTACATGACGAGCTTTATCTTTCTATATGTTTAGCAGTGTGATTTGGGTGAAGTCTAAATCATTATGTCACTTGTGGTTTTTTGTTTTAAGAGAAAGGAGATTAAATCAGATGAGAGTGAAAATATTTCCCAGCTTTGGATTTGGATTCTGTTCTGAGTTAAGTGTTTTACAAATGGAACTGGAAAAAAGACTTTCAGGAAATAATTCTGTTCCCTTGAAGACATTATATGACGTTATTTGTCAAGTAAATATCTTTGTCTCTTATTGTGTTATATAAGGCAATTGAACCCTCACTGAACACTTGAAGATTACATTGAAATCTTTCTGGTTCTTAATTCTATTTAAGGCCATTTCCTCAATGTCTGTAGTGGCATAATCCATGATAATGCAAATCCAGACCGGATTATGCTAGAGATTAAATTTTGGGAAAAAGATAACCATAGTAGAAAGGCATATATGGCTGGAGATAGCAGATTAAATATATAAATTTAATTTCTACTTCTTCCTCCAAAATTGCTAAAATGACAAAACTTATGCAGGCCAAACAGCAACAAACAATAAAACAACTGGAGACAACAATAATAAAACTATTATTCAAAAAGTAAATAGACAAATTTTAAATTGTCTCAGTAGATAGAAGAAAGCTGAATCCTAAACCAACTGGGTAAACCTTAGTAGATAGAAGAAAGCTGAATCCTAAACCAACTGGGTAAACCTGGGTAAAGTATCTGGCTGACTGATCTTCCCCAATCCTAGCAGAAACCTGGAGATTTATTCTCTGGAAAGGATAAAATAGAAGATCTCTGTTCTTGGAGGTTCTCAGATACATTTGAGGACATGGGTACATATTTGGAATAAGGAGATTTAATGAATGTTTACATACTGAATGTTAAGATTCCCCTAATTTTTTCTTCCACTCAGTTTCCACATTTCACATTTTCCTAAGCAGATGGTTCAAAAAGTCTTTGGGTCTTTTGTACAGCTCTCAAGGGAAGACCTAGAGATATTGGTACCAGGGGTTCTCCCTACAAAATGGACTAGTCAGATAATCATACAAGGAAAACCAGTTTGGAAGCTCCACCAATGCATACTAGAACTTTCAAACAGTGTGTTGTTTTGTTTTTTAACCCTACTTTTTACCACATTTGAAGAAACACTTTATATCAAAGAAACTAAAATTAATGGATATAATACAACTTGGAAGAAATAAACTATGTAGTGTAAAGAAAACTTCCAGACAGACAAATGAAACTAATCAACAGACCTTCTGCATAAATATAACTGCATGAAAGAGAAACATTCATTATAAAAAGAGCCTTTGAAAATTAAAATTAAAATTAAAAATATGATAGCATAAAGAAACAACTAGAATAGTTGGAAAGAAAGTTGAGGACATATCTTAGAAGGTTGAGCAAAAAGACAAAGAGATGGAGGAGACAAGAAAAGATATGAAAAGATAAAAAATTGATTTAGGTAGTATAGAATTTTAACAATATTTGTTCTTCCAGTCCATGTGAATGAAATGTCTTTCCATTTCTTTGTGACATCTTCAGTCTTTTTTGTAAGTTTTTTTATAGTTTCACCTCTTTGATTAGGTTTATTCCTAGGTAGCTTATTGTTTTGGGTGCAACTGGAAATGGGATTGATTTCTTAATTTCTCTTTCTGCTGCTTCATTACTGGGGTATAGAAATGCAACAGATTTCTGTACATTGGTTTTGTATCCTTTGACTTTACTGAATTTGTTAGTTCTATCTGAGAGAAGATACTTACAAATGACATATCTGCTGAAGGGTTAGTATCCAAAATATATAAAGAACTTATAAAACTCAACACAAAAAATGAATAATCCAATTGAAAAATGGGCAGGAGACATGAATAGACATTTTTCCAAAGAAGACATACAGATGGCCAACAGACACAAGAAAAGATGCTCAACATCACTCATTACCAGGGAAATATAAATCAAGCTACAGTGAGGTATCATCTCACACCAGACAGAATGTCTAAAATCAACAACATAGGAAACAACAGGTATTAGTGAGGATGTAGAGAAGGGGGAATCCTCTTACATTGTTAGTGGGAATGGAAACTGGTGGAACCACTCTGAAAAACAGTATGGAGGTTCCTCAAAAAGTTAAAAATAGAACTACCCTATGACCCAGCAAGTGCAGTACTGGGTATTTACCCAAAGCATACAAAAATACTGATTTGAAGGGATACATACACCTTGATGTTAATAGCAGCATTATCTACAATAGCCAAATTATGGAAGCAGCCCAAGTGTCCATTGACTGACAAATTGATAAAGAAGATGGTATATATACACAATGGAATATTATTCAGCCATCAAAAAGAATGAAATCCTCCCATTTGCAATGACATGGATGAAGCTAGAAAATACTGTGCATTATAATAAGCAAAATAAGTCCGAGAAAGACAAATGCAATATGATTTCACTCATATGTTGAATTTAAGAAAGAAAACAAGTGAGTGAGCAAAGGGGAGAAAGAGAGAGAGATAAACTAAGAAACAGACTCTTAATTATAGAGAACAAACTGATGGGTACCAGAGGGGAGGTGGGTAGGAGAATGGGTGAAATAAGTGATAGGGATGAAGGAGTGCACATGTGATGAGCAACAGGTGTTGTATGGAAGCATTGAATCACTATTCTTGTACACCTGAAACTAATATTACACTGTATGTTAACTGGAATTTGTTTATTTTTTTAATTTAATTTAATTATGTTATGTTAGTTACCATACAGTACATCATTAGTTTTTGATGTAATGTTCCAGGATTCATTGCTTTCATATAACATCCAGTGCTCCATGCAATACGGGCCCTCCTCAGTACCCATCACCGGGCTAACCCATCCCTCCAGCCCCGCCTTAAAACCCTCAGTTTGTTTCTTGGAGTCCATAGTCTCTCATGGTTCATCTCCCCCTCTGATTCCCCCCGTTCATTTTTCCCTTCTTTCTCCTAATGTCCTCCATGCTATTCCTTATGTTCCACAAATAAGTGAAACCATATGGTAATTGACTTTCTCAGCTTATTTCACTTAGCATAATCTCCTCCAGTCCCATCCATGTTGATGTAAAAGTTGGGTATTCATCCTTTCTGATGGCTGAGTAATATTCCATTGTAT